TTCTCCTGAGAACGCTCGGGCCGCACACTTTGGCCAGGCTCAGAGGCTGCCACCGTCATCACAGGGTCTGCCTGGGTTAAGAGGAGACAAAGTGACTCGGCATTGCTGAAACACGAGTGGACCTTGGCTCCCCCTCCCTACCTCGGCGTCTCACCACAACTCCTCAGCCAGTGCCAAAGGCTATCTGGATGCCATCTTGCAATACAAAATGTCAAGCCTTCACCTCAGAGTTCTTCAATACTTCCAAAGGGCTCACAAGCACAGGAAATCCAGGCCATCAGCTGTTGGTGACAGGGGCTTGGCATACTCTGAGTGGATTCCCTAAAGCACACAAACAACAATGGATGCTTACAATTGCACCAAAACCTGAAACCTAAGCAGTAACAACTGCTCAGGTGCACTGCTCACCTCGAACACTTGGCCTTGACTGCTGCTATCTGCCTGGACCTCCTAAAAATAAAGGCAAAGAACACTGCTGTAACACGGTCACCATTTAGGCTTCCCCTGCAAATGCAAACAATGACTGACCTGATCATGGCAACACCCTCACCCCAGGACTGGGGCTCTCTGCCACAGATTTGGACTGTCAGTATCTGAAATGAAGTTAGGACTAGTGTCAAACGGCTGCAGGACAACTTAACAGCACCAGACATGTTATGTCAATCTCCTAATCCAATCTAGAGCCCAACTACACCCTGCATTACAAATTTCAAGTCCCCAGGACATGTGCTATTACAGTCTATGCAGCAGGGCAGAGCAGTTGTAGGACAAATACGTGCAGACACCCGTGACACAGGACAGGGAGAGAGAGCTTTTGAGGAGAAGAAAGGACTGAGAGACCCAAAGAACACAGAGTGCACCAGAGACAAGTGACAGGACACACACCAGAACTGCTCTGCCCTGAGCACCTCAGCACTGTGATCAAAACAGACACTTTCCCTTTAGCTGGCCTAAGGGGACACTTCTTGCACATCCCTGCCCCCAAACCTGATCCTAAAGGCC